ATGGCTGTCTTGTCTGCTCTTGATTCTGGCTCCCTTTTTAACCGTTAAACACTTTGCGACGTGAATGCGCACTCCCCATTAGATAGTGCTCCGTCGATCGACTTGATTTTAAACCGAACCTCTTGTATTACCTGCAGCTAATTACCGGAGCGGCGCGCACACCTTGCGGCCCAATGAAAATTATTGAGCAAAAAAAAGGCGAGGCCTCGCTTCGTTTTCGACAAGAACGGCCAAACGGGGGGGCGGGCAGGAGAGCGGGAGAGCGGACGGGCGGGTGGTGGTGTCGCCTGCCGGAGGAAGTGAAAGCCGTGTCGCAGACTCTCGGGTTAATTACCAGCGCCGAAATCCGCCAAGGGTTGAGCTAATTTCTAATCGTCTGACAGTCGACACTGTCTGCTCCTCCACAGCCGCTCTAATGAAAACCTAACATGGGATTACACAGGGGGGGGGGAGCTCGGGGGGGGGGGAAGCAGCAGGGAGGGTGGTTGGGGGTGGTGGGGTGGAGGGAGATGGAAATGACTGGCACATTTGAACCCATAGCCTTTTGCGGAGGCAGGCTTGAATGATTGCTGGAAACCCGGCCGTACATTGCCGTGTCCAATTACTGCCTTGTAGGCCGTCGCTGGCCGCTGCTGGCGTATCGAGGATGCTAGATTTTTTGTCGTTGTTGCTTTTTTTAGGATCGTCAATGCTTCTTATTTTTTTTTTCAAATAGCAGCACATCTCGATATTGCAGGTTTCTTTAAAAAAAAAGATGGACAGATCGAAGATAAATCTTCTGATCAATATCGCGGTAAAATTGTGTGTTTGGCATTTTAAAAGGATGCTGCATATTGATTGAAAAGTTTAAAATTGCGGCACTTTTCCAGAAGTAAAGTTAAGCAGCTGAAAAGGGGTTAACCTTTGTAGAATGTTCGAGAGATTTCAATTGAGTAGACATTTTAATAAAATTGAGGCATGTGCTCTCCCAGTTTTTGTTGAGGAATATTATGGAACCTTGCCCCTGTATCACCAAGTGACACGTCAAAGTAATTGAGTCCATTGGGCCTCCCACTGATTGACAGCTTGCGGGAAATATCATAATGCCATTATAACACAAGTCCCCGCAAGAGGTCATCCGTAATAAGGCGTTTTCTTTACAGAATAGGCGCGATGGCATGGAAACCACTTACGCAACTGCTCCGTGGACAAAAGAACGTTTTGCCTTAACCGATTAACAACAGGAGTAAGTCTTAATTGCTTTACCTGTAAGGCTTTGGTGGTGAGGATGATGATGATGATGGTGGTGGTGGAGGTGGAGATGAGGAGACCTTCTTGACAGGCCCTTGCTGATCCCGCTTCACCCCGCAGCGTCGTTCCAATTGCCGCCCAGCCGCCCGGCCTCGCTCCCAAACGCCGCACCGCCAACGGCCGTCGCTTCGACTCGTCCATAATTAATTTTTCTCACGGATTCCGCCGCGTAATTTGTAAATACAGATGGCAGTTAATAACGGAAAGTAATGGCTTAAATAAAAGTTAACCAAGTCGATGAAAATTTAATTGGAGTGATTTATTCGCGTACGCTGGGAGAAAGAAAAAAAACGCGGCGCCTGTAAGCAAAGACAAAGATTTCACCCCTGGCTCCCCCCCGCCCCCACACCCCTAAGAGTATTCTTTCAAGACTGGTGGAGCAAGCGCTGTTAGTGAGTGCCTATTAACGTCCAGCATACCGCAGTGGGGGGTGGCGGGGGAGCGGTGTGGTCAGCACCATGGACAGCTGCCTCTGTCTGCACCGGTGCTTAATGTTTTATATACCGCACCGCACAATCATTTCAGGCGGAGTATGGCCTAGGGGAGGCCAACGAGCTGTTGAGATTCCACTCGCTGCCTATGTCCATTGCCAGGTCACTGGCGTCGTACTGCGGTGCGTTCGCCGCTGCCCCAGCCCACCGGTTGCCATGCTATATTCACAAACACACGTGCGCGCTGCACACTTGCAGAGCACGCACGCACGGATTAATTTTTGTTAAGTACTCTGCATTTACAGGCATAATCCTCGTGGCCCAGACAAGAGTGAAGCCACCATTGAATTGGTAAGCCGTTTACGATGACATTTGGAGTGGCTCCAGTGTTTCCCGACGATGGCGTGTTCGTGATGGTTTTATTTGCCCTACGTAATTCATGGCCGCACATGTGTGTGCGCTGCTTGTGTGGATTTAGAGAAAATACAAACTTCTCCATCACTCGTGTTTGATTATACCCATTCATACTCTCCCCCCCGCCCCCTGCCAAGGCCCCCTCCCACCATCCCCCCCCTCCCACCACCATCTCTCTTTTCTTGCTTCCGCTAACAGCAGCCAGCGCATTCCAAATCTGCCGTTTATCTCGCGCCAAATTTAGCGTGACGCGTCGGGGTATTACACTGAACCAGTGCCCCGTTAACTCATTCACCTATAACTCACCGAGCGTCGAGCTACAAAAAAAAACAACGGCTCCGCGTTGGCTTCCGCCGCCAGTTGTGGCCTAGCTGGACACGACGCGATGCAATTGGCCGTGCGCCGGGGGACGGTGATGAAAATGATCGAGCAGACGACACATCCCTATTATTAACCGGCAACGCCGACACCAAATGGTCACGGTGAAGCCCAACCGCCAAAGCGCTCACCGGATTGCCGTTTGTATCTTTTTTTCCTCCGGGCGGCACCTTTTTAATTACGCCGTGGCGCTGTTATCTCTTTACGGCAGGAAATTCTGATGAATCCCGCAATGAATCGCTGCCACGTCGCTGAACGTGCTGGCTTTGTCCGGAAACCTTTAATCACTGCTGAAAGCTGGCAATATACAGTTGTCCCGTAACATTACGGGGTTATTTTAGGGAGTTGCGAAAATTGCCTGTAGCTGAGTAGATTATATCGTCGGAGACGGTTTTACATGTCGGGTAATTATCCTCAACAGCCTGGCTACTGAGCGGCAGCAGTTATCTCTTTTCCGGTTGGGTTACTTTAAACAAGAAAGAAATAGTCACGCATATGCAACGGCTTCTGTAACCCCTTTCCAAAAATGACATTTCTCCTGCCCACACTGCTCCCCTCCCTCATATTTAATTAGTGCAGTATTTAATTAGCGATGATAATCTGTAAGGCTTTAAGCCGCTCGAGGAAGTGAGGTCACGCGGCATGTGCGATGGTTGCCGTCGTCGTCTTCGCTCTAGTGGACAAGACAAATAATATTTTTAGTGCAGGTTTTTCATCGCCATATTCTTGGTGGGCAAGCCTGTTAGTTTATGGTAGTCGGTCCTCTCTTTGTTAAGTCCCCCTCGATAGTGGCAGCACTCGCTGCTAAAATGTAGTTGGATGATCGTGTATCCCCTCTCTCCCTCCTGCCCCCTCTGCCCCCATTATAGACAGACAGACGGGCAGAGCTAACGCGTTAACGCTGTCAACCTGTGCCCCGGATGTTGTACGAAATCGTACGCATTTTTGAATGTTTAGCTTCTTCCTATGAACAGATTATAACGAGGCCTTCTTTGTGCATATTTATCGAGGCTGGTTATCGTCGGTAATCCTCGTGGTCGTGGTGCCTCAATCCCCGCAATCCTCAAAACGTGCGCAATGCCAGCAGGCGATTTTTATGTGACAACTTTATTATTGTTCGTTTTTAATTTTTGCAAATTCCAACGGGCTGGCATCGACGGAACGGCGCTGGGCCCGTGAATAATTTTCAAAGCGGGCGGTCTTCTTCGGCTTGCATCGCGGGGCGATCGCGAGCTTTGCCAAGTAAGGGGTAGGAGCAGGGATTGAACCCGGCGCTTCGTGCGCATCGACCGGGCGCGCGATGGCGGCGTCGCTCGCATCGCTCGCTCGCGCATTTTGGTTTCCCTATGACGGTTCGCTGTCACTCGACGGAGGGGCCCCGTAGAGTTGTGCGCTATCTTCGTATGATTCTGAACGATGAGACCGCTTGCTGGGCTGGGTGATATTGAAAAGCATGCTGGCAATTACGACGTCTCGTTAATGATTTCTTCTTGTGTACGGGAGTCGGGATTATCTGTGGTGCGTTAATGCTGCGGGCCTGTCACGGAGCCGAATTTAAAATTCCACACTTTCATTCTAAAAATGCTTCAGTTTAAGAGTTGATTAGGCTGCTTCATTGCATTCGCCACGGTTAAAGATATTCACTGTAAAATTTTCTGATTTCACCCGAGACTGGGACAAAATGACTGTGGCTTTTGTTGAGTCTGGGAGAAAGAGAGAGAGAGCTTGAATTAATGTTAAGCTCTAAGCCTGCAAAAAAAAATTCACTGATGTGGAATGCCGTATATATTGGACGTCTGAAAGTGATGTGATGTGACTGCGATACGGATCCCGCTGAGGATAATTGATATGATTTCGGGAGATAAATTAAAGTGGAATGAACCATTTTGTGCCCCTTTGGGAGCCTTCACTCAAACACTGGGGAGCAAATTAACAGAGAAGCTCAGTATACGAAATCTTCAAAACAAAATATACACTTGCCTTATTTGATATTCAAATTCTCAATAAATATTTCATATCCGATATATTTCACATGCCGGTGATTTAGAACCCAGGGATTTTTGGGGTTTTTATTTATTTTACATTCCGTTGTTGTTGTCGTCGTCGTCGCTGCGTCTGCCGGTGTTGTTGTGCGCCGTCTTTTGCGTGTCGCTCTTCCTGTCCGCGCCTCTGCGTGCGTGCGCGTGGCGCGTTCGTCAGCCTCGTCGGTTGACGCACGGCCCCGTCGGGAGGAAGACGCCGTTAGCCGGCCCCCGTCTCCTGGAGTCGTCTCCCTCCAACCCCCCCACCCCCCAACTTTCCCCAACGCTCCTTCACGATGCTGCGGCTTCGTCGTTCCAGCGCCGTCGGGCCCCCGAAGCCGCCGCCGCGTCGCGCGAGGTTTAGCGTGCGCCGCCCGTCCGTGATTGCTCTCCGCAAGCGTGCGTAATAATTAAAGCCTCTTCCTGTGTCATTCTCCCCAACCCCCCGCCCCCCTTTCCCCTGCAGGATCAGACGGACTATGGAGTCTTTGATCTCTTCTTGATGGGTAAGATGGGTTGGGGCTTCTGTGCTGTGTTGTTTGGGGGGTGTTGGGTGAGAAAGCAACATCTGTCTTGCCTTTTCCCCCCACTGGGAACTGAAGCTTCCTGGTTTCTTTTATTTTATTTTATCCCTTCTATCTTCCTGTCTCTCTCTTCTCTCCCCCGCAGGTGAGAATCTGCGCGGCAGGCACATTCCCCATTTATTGTGCTCGTAAGGAGGGGGGCTGGGGAGGGGAGATTTAGCGTAAAGGGCATCGCCAATTATCGTACGTGTGCCAGGAAGAATCGGGGAGGGGGGGGGGTACGCAGTAACGTCGCCGTTGTTATGGGAACAATATTGTGTTAGCGTCTGCCTCCCGAGAGAGCTGTGCCGTTTGCTTTTTTTTTATCGCCGGTTAATGATGTTAACCTTCATCGCCGCCTCCATTGAGAAAGCCCAACGATTCGAATGTTTCTCGCCGCGCCGGGGGGCCCTCTCGCGGCTTCGTCTCGGGGGCCCTGGCAGAACGTCAGGCCGTGTCCAATCCGTTACGTGGGGGCCACACTTTTGCCGTCTATTAGGGCCGAAATCCCCAGATCGCGTCGAAGACCGCAGTGGCTTCTGGCCGCGCTCTTCGTCATCGTTTCTGGCTGGCTGACGTGAACGGAACCGCAGGGTGGCTGCCGCGGCTGGCAACGGGCGCAGAGATAGCACGCCCGCCCGCCCGCCGCGCGTTTTCAGCTTTGCATTAAAGTTTAAAAAACCGAAGCATTTATAATTTATCAGTTTTTATGGCACCCATTCCTCCATTACACGGGAGTTCAGGAGGAGGTTTAATGCCGCACATAAATAACCCCGCAAACCGGGAAGCCTCCGACGGAGCACGCCGCTCGGAGTGGGCGGCGTGCGGTGCCAAGTTGTTCGCTTTGCGAAAAAAGTGCGGGCACGGGGAGTAGATACGCGGGTAATAGATATTTATAACGGACGTAAAACCTAACCAGTTTGGAAAACGCCGATCCATCCTTAGCAGTTCCCCGCCGTAATTCCGCCGCAGGAATTAGCGGCACGGGTAAGCCGATAGCTTCGTCGCGACGCGGATACGATTTGTTTAAGCAAACTTTTCTTATTAACGGTATAAATTCTAATCCACGTCGGGTGTCGGTGGTGCAGGCGCGGGCCCTAACGAGCTGCTTATGGAAAGTGATTCGTCTTGCGAGACAATGATCGGACTGCGCTCGTCGAGGGAGGCTGACCCCGGGGACCGGTGCTTAGGGTTTCTGCCACGAATTAAGGGAAGCCCTGGGTTCATCTCTAGCCTCCGTTGGAAATGCACGGTAGCAGAGCTGTCGGGGTTTCTATTTATTTTTATTTTCTGTAAAAAAATACATTTTCACGTGAGTTTATTTCGATTGAGCTGTCGACGCCGCATCGCGATCTGTTTTAGATTTGTCGCGGTGAAGCAGTGCAGCGCTGCCCTGCGTTAAGACGATGGAAAGCATGTAAGCGGATATCACAGAACTACTGCCGAGATCCCTCCTCTGCTGTAAAGCAGCACTCTCGTAATGGTGGTGACGTGTTTTTGGTCACCTCTTCGGTTGTTTTCAGAATGATTACTGGAAGTTTAACTTTGTTTACATCAATTGAATGCTTCATTAAATGTGAGGATGAGATGGGCGGCGATGCCTCTCTGTGGTCATTCGAGCAGAGACACCCACGCTAGACGGAGATGGGGGACAATCTCCCACGCCTGCCTCCCTCTCTCGCTCGTGTCTGCCTCAGGATCTTCGTTCACCGACTGGTTCACCTCGTACGTGAACAACGTCGTCACTGGCCAGTACCCCATCCTGAACAACGAGATCTACAAGTAAGTTCCGTGGTCGCGGGGGCGGGCGGGGGGGGGGTCTTCTGTGAAAAAGAGCTTTGTAGTTCATCAGATTCCTCCGGCACGGATACAAATTCTGAGTCTGATTTTAAAAAAGCGATAATTCTTCAGAGGAGTTACTCTGGGGATGCTGCTGCTGCTGCGTTGACACGTTCCGTGTGTCAACAACACCACCTGTGTGTGTGTGTGACCTTAACAGGAAAAACATTAAAGAGGCGATGTTTCGGGTAATGGACCTTCTTCATGGCACATTGCCCAAAATGTCGCCTATTAGAACGTTTCCTTTTAAAGCCACAGAGTTATTGAGCAGTGTGTGGCGTTGTTAATTCCTAGATGGGTGGGGGTCACAGCCCCGCCGGGGTTTTTCGTGCAAAACTGTGGGCGGTCTACTCACATTTGAAACCACAATTCACCATTTTGGAAGTTCATTTCACCGTTTATCATAAAAAATTGACGAATGATGCCTTCGTGCGGTGATTTGCATTTTCGTTGGCGAGAAGGGTGGATGATTTCAGCCATTGTGGCTTTCGAGTCTGAGAGAGGGGGGCCAGATTTACGGGGCACTTTTCAACTTTTTTTTTTTAACCTTTCCCTTTATCAAAAATTGAATGGCCAATTTGTGTAACTCACGCGTGATCAAAAAGTTAGACTTGCTGATCCCTGGCATTACCAATTCATGTAACAGCCATTTGAATTCCTGATGTGACCAATTAAGTGACTATTCCAGACACACACACAGCATCGTGTGGGTTTTCAGCCGCAGAACTGCCGCAGCCCTCTCCCGTCTTCTCAGCTTGTGCCGCGTGTTGTTCAGCACGATGCCCGACGTTTTGCACCCGTGTGCTCTGGGAGCTTCTTCAAGAACCCAAGAAGCTCCCGGGGCATGTAGGGGACCCAGAACGTCTTTAAGACGTTCGTGACTAAGCCAATTCTGTTGGCGAAAGAGCTCCCCCGGCACGTGGAACGAAACGTCGGACATCGCACTGCACGATCTAAAGAACACACGTCGGGCGAGCTGTGACCATTCCGCATGCCTCTCACGTGAGCCTACGCTGTGGGAGAGAGGAAAAAACATTTGAAAAAACATTGCTCGTTTACCACCCTTTGGCCCCGGTTATTCGATGCGGTGAAATTTGTTGTTGGCGGCGTCTGTGAGTGGCGCTCACCCCGGGCCGGCCGGTTTCGCCGGCCGGCCACCCGGCCTCGTGAAATAGCACACGGCGATGCGTTGTGACGTGCGGAACCGGGGCGCGCGTGAATCACGCAGGGCGGTCACACCAATCGCTCGCTCTCCCCGCGTGTTTCTCGTGGACTTGCGGAGCTGGCCGCGTACGAAGGACGTGAGGCGGGTGGGCGGAGGCGTCGGGGGAGGGTTGAGTCTGAGTGAACGTCGTCGCTGTTGTGATAGGGTGCCGCGGTGGCGAGATGCTAACTCCCTCGCCTGGTATGCAGGGAGTCGTGGGTCCGATCCCGACCGTGACGCCTGCTGTATATTTGGTGTTTGTATGTGTGTCTCCCCATGGATTTTTATCCGGGTCCTCCAGTTTTTGCCTCCACATTTAGAAACGTGGGTGAGTATTTGGCTGCTATAAATTTCCACATGGCGATAAGCCACTTCGTTGAGCTATCGTTTGTCGCCAGGTCGCTTCTGAAAAGACCTATATAGCTCAGTGGGACTTACCTGGTAAAATACAAAATAGTTTATAGTTCATATTCTTAGCTCCCACGCCTCCAAATCTGCGTTCCGGCTCAAGTCGTGCGCGAAGGCCTGCTCAGAGCGGCGGTGGAGATTGGAGTTTTGAAGGCGTCGGGGTTGGCGGATCGCAATAATGCTCAAACTCGCTGCTGCGGGGCGAGCTTTGTCCCGACGTCAAAAGGGCAGAGCCGCGATCAGCACCCAGAACCTGAAACGCCGGCAGCAGCTGCAATGGGAGAACGTGAGCTGCCCAATTGAGTTTCTCCACAAGCTCCCGGCACGTGGGGCTCTCGTCAGCCACTTGAAGAGGTAAAGGCACGTGGGGCGAAACGTCGGACATCGCAGCGAAACACAACGCGGCACGGCCCTCGACAACGTGCCCGGGGAGCTGTAGCGATGGAGGTTGCCCCGCGGTGACCTCGCGACCCCCCCGTAGCCCGTCGCTGAAGCTCTCGGCTGAGCTTGGCTCTAGCCAGGATTCACGCTGCGGGCCGCTTGGTTACCCACTCGCTAGCGGCGCCGCTAGCGAGTGGGCGGGTCGGCCACCGCGCGTCTCTCTCGCGTGCGTGCCCGCGCCCCGGTGCGACACGCTATGACGCCCGTGATTTATGGGGCCCTGGTGCCTGGAAGGGGGGGGGGGTGAGGTGCCGCAATTACGCTCGGTGTTTTTCGCGGCGAAAATTACGCGCTTTGTCGTCACGATTCATAAAGCAGAGGCGCGCGAGTCGATCAGGAGCAGCCGCACTCACGCCGGTGAATTCGTGCGCAGGGGACCCGGTCGCCGGCGTGCATCTCAGCGGCGGCGGAATTCACCGGTCGGTGGTGGTAAATTGGGGGGGGGGGGGGGCAGGGGGGGTGCTGTCTCGAATTGACGTGTAACCTTTGTAGACGTTTATCGCAAAGGTCTCCTCCAACCTTGGCGAGTTCCGTCCGAGTGCGGTTGCAGCGAAGGGACAAATTGCCGTGTCGCGGGGGGGTTGGGGCGGTGCCGGGGGGGGGGGGGTGTGGAGGGGGGGGGGCGTGGGGGGAGTGGGGGGTGTTGGTGCCCTACCTGTGACGATGTGGTGGCCCTCTCTCCGATTACTCTGCCCTGCTCATTTACATGGAAATCTAATCCGGCTGCTTACAGGGTGGCTCAGAGGGGTGAGCCCGAGTCCCCCCCCCTCTCTGCCACGAATTAAAAACGTTGCTGCTCGCGTGCGATACAGTGAGGGCAAAAAGTATTTGATCCCCTGCTGATTTTGTACGTTTGCCCACTGACGAAGAAACAACAACAAAATCCAGAAAAACGCATGTCAAAAATGTTATAAATTGATTGGCATTTTAATGAGGGAAATAAGTATTTGACCCCTCTGCAAAACATGACTTATTACTTGGTGGCAAAGCCCTTGTTGGCAATCAAAGAGGTCAGACGTTTCTTGTAGTTGGCCACCAGGTTTGCACACATCTCAGGAGGGATTTTGTCCCACTCCTCTTTGCAGATCTTCTCCAAGAAATTAAGGTTTCAAGGCTGACGTTTGGCAACTCGAACCTTCAGCTCCCTCTACAGATTTTCTATGGGATTAAGGTCTGGAGACTGGCTAGGCCACTCCAGGACCTTAATGTGCTTCTTCTTGAGCCACTCCTTTGTTGCCTTGGCCGTGTGTTTTGGGTCATTGTCATGCTGGAATACCCATCCACGACCCATTTTCAATGCCCTGGCTGAGGGAATGAGGTTCTCACCCAAGATTTGACGGTACATGGCCCCGTCTATCGTACCTTTGATGCGGTGAAGTTGTCCTGTCCCCTTAGCAGAAAAACACCCCCAAAACATAATGTTTCCACCTCCATGTTTGACGGTAGGGATGGTGTTCTTGGGGTCATAGGTAGCATTCCTCCTCCTCCAAACACGGCGAGTTGAGTTGATGCCAAAGAGCTCCATTTTGGTTTCATCTGACCACAACACTTTCACCCAGTTGTCCTCTGAATCATTCAGATGTTCATTGGCAAACTTCAGACTGGCATGTATATGTGCTGTCTTGAGCAGGGGGACCTTGCGGGCGCTGCAGGATTTCAGTCCTTCACGGCGTAGTGTGTTACCAACTGTTTTCTTGGTGACTATGGTCCCAGCTGCCTTGAGATCATTGACAAGATCCTCCCGTGTAGTTCTGGGCTGATTCCTCACCGTTATCATGATCATTGCAACTCCACGAGGTGAGATCTTGCATGAAGCCCCAGGCCGAGGGAGATTGACAGTTCTTTTGTGTGTCTTCCATTTGCGAATAATCGCACCAACTGTTGTTACCTTCTCACCAAGCTGCTTGGTGATGGTCTTGTAGCCCATTCCAGCCTTGTGCAGGTCTACAATCTTGTCCCTGACATCCTTGGAGAGCTCTTTGGTCTTAGCCATGGTGGAGAGTTTGGAATCTGATTGACTGATTGCTTCTGTGAACATGTGTCTTTTATACAGATAACAAGCTGAGATTAGGAGCACTCCCTTTAAGAGTGTGCTCCTAATCTCAGCTCGTTACCTGTATAAAAGACACCTGTGAGCCAGAAATCTTTCTGATTGAGAGGGAGTCAAATACTTATTTCCCTCATTAAAAGGCAAATCAATTTATAACATTTTTGACATGCGTTTTTCTGAATTTTATTGTTGTTATTCTGTCTTTCACTGTTCAAATAAACCTACCATTAAAATTATAGACTGATCATTTCTTTGTCAGTGGGCAAACGTACAAAATCAGCAGGGGATCAAATACTTGTTTCCCTCACTGTAGCTCCCCGGCAAGGTCCCCTTGTCAGCCACTTGAGGAGCTAAAGGCGCAGCCCCACCCGCAATCGCTCCGCTCTCGCCACATCCGCTGGAAGGAAGCTCTTCGGTGTGCTTGGCCTACTCTTCCGCGCCGAGCCCGAGTGTTGGGAGAGGCAGGACTGGACCCACGCTTTACCGTGCTACTGTGGTGTGAACCCATTTCTTCTGCCGGGTGAACAGAGGCGGGCGGTTGGTGGATTCGGGGAAACTCGCAATTGCCGTCCCAAACTGCCGCTCGGATGAGATGGTGTCGAGCCGGCTCGAGAGTCGAAAGCCCGGTGCGCTAACCGTCAGCCCCCGCTGTAGCAGCTGCTCGGTCATGTATGACTCTCTGTACCCAGTTATGTCTGCTGCGATGACACAAAGAGGAGGGGGGGAGAAAAGAAAGTTGAGTTTGTTTTAGGCATTAAACGCAAAGAGGCTTTAGAGAGGGTGACAGCTTGGGGCGGAGTTTTATAATGGGCCATTTGGATGGCCTGTCCTACCGAGGAT